TGAAGATCCAAGATGTATATTATCCAAATGTTGTATAATATACACAACAAATAATTGTATAATACCTTCTGCTGCGTTTAAAATTTGCTTTTAAAAAAAACATGTTATGGCTTCAGGTTAATAATTATAAATATTTAGTTGCCAATAACTTATAAAATAAAATGTTGGAACGGGAGCTACTGTTGAAATTATAATATACATACTTGCGTTCATATTTTCACAAGACGCTCGAGATAAAAAGTTGGAGTTTATAAGTGCTCCCTGAACGCAGCACCAGCGTCACAGAATGGCGTCTGTATTGGACTACAATCATTGGCTTCACAAAACAATTACAGCTGCTTCAACTACAAATATTGCAATATCTCCTGCGCATGCTCACTGAATGTTTCGGTCACCTAGTATGACATTTTAATTATGTATGCATGAGACAAACGCACGATGGTGACATTTAGCTCCATGTTTTTTAATCTGTGCATGAGTATGTGTTATGCAAACCTTGCAAATGTAACATCATCCCAATAAAAACAAAGAGATTTAGTGACCTTATCTAATTGCTATGACATGTTGAAGCCTATTGTGACTATAGTATGGATAATCCCTGTACAATAGCTTATTCCTTTAGGGAACAATATGTTACAAAAAAACTAAAGTCAGTTACATTTTTGAAAAAATATTCATGTTTTATACTGTGATGTGTCAACCATGTGCACCCTCACTGCCTCTGAAACAGGAAGCAAACACCCTCTGCTGGTTAATAAAAGGATGACACACGTAAACACACACACGCACACAGTTGATAAATACCAATAGCAATAGTACTTGCTATATGCTACTAAGTTTGTGGAATGGTACATTTCAGAACAATGCATTTATTATATAATTAAATACAATAACTACTTTATGATTAATAACAAACAAATGTGTATGGCCATGCTGTGAAAAATGCAAAATAAGATATAGTCATGGGGTAAATTGAGACAATAAAAGTGTGAATTTATGCTTCTTTTAAAACTATTACATCTGTATGATTCGTAATATAACATACCTTTAATATATAAAATACACAACACATGACATACTAAACAACTGTATACAAAATATGTAGTACAATGCATGTACAAAAAATTGGTGATGTTATTCTATACTTTTGTAATTAACATTTATACTTCAATGTTTAATTTGTATCTGTTGTATCCAACACCTTAAGCTTAGGATTTCAGGACGGGTGTTTGCTCCATCAGCTGCTTCATCATCTGTAAAAACAACAAAGCAAATACTCATTATTAACTATCTAGGTTTATTAGTGTGAACTAAATTACACTAATATCACTACTGCTACATAATGTAAGTAACAGAATACATTTACTTACTTTATACTTATACTCTACTACATTTCAGAGGGGGATATGAATACATTACTGCATTATAGTTACTCCACAGATTCAGATTATTCTTACAAAATATTATCAACAAATGAATATGATATATTACTGCAGATGAAGGTACCAACACATATTCTTATGTACATAAATAAAAAACAGATTAATGAGTACATTTGATGTGTTTAAAGTTTGCTAACCTTGTTTTAAAAGCATGAAAAAAGATAGATTAGCTATTTAAAGACCCTTTATTCTAAATTCATTATGTTAAAGATGTAATCATTAAATAACTTATGTGAATCTTTCTTGTATTTTTAAGTCATTGTAACATTGTTTAAAAATGTATGTTAATAATGAGTGTTTTAGAGTGTTAATAAAATAAAATAATGTAAATAGTTATAGAATATCTGACCGGCTTCTGCTTCCTCTTGGCTTGCATCATTTCCTGCTGCTGCTTCAAGCGTACTTCCTCCAGACTCAAACAGCCACCTGAACACATGAATGCATCAAAGATCATAATATTGTAAAATGTATGATTCTTAATTGGGACTTTTGAACTTTTACTTTTGTTTTACTTTAATCTGCATAATGAGTATATACTATTCGTACATTTTGCTGATCTGTACTTCTACTTAAGAACACTTTAATGCAGGACTTATTTACTTTACATGCTGTCTTTTTCAGATCATGGTATTGCTACTTCTTCCACCCTCCACACACCTGTACATTAATATTAAGGTCTAAAAATAAACATATGAATCCTATTAATTATAAGATGTATCAGTTTCTCTCACCCACAGTGCTGGGGCTGATGGAGACAAACGCCATTGCTCTGCTCAGCCTCAGCTCCTCCAAAGCGGCGAGCTCCGCCTCTGCCTCTGATCAACCAATCACAGCACACGTTAATATTTACCTGACAATAAAACAGAGTTTATAGTGTCTGATTTAGCGCCTAAACATAAAGACTCACTTCTCTGGATCTCTCTTCTCTTATTGGGGTTCGGGGGGATGACCGTGAAAGCTTTGTTACTGAAACTGAAACAGATCAGAAAGACAAATAATACTTATGCCTAGATTTTCTGACCTTTCTCTTTTTTCTTCGTTGCTAAATACTGAATTCTATAATGTGAAGCCCATTTCTGAATCTATACTAAAATATAAAATAAAAACGTTTTTTTTATTTAACAGGCAGTCACTCAAAATCAATGGAGGTCAGGACCCTCCAAAATGTTGTTTCTTCTTAAAAAGAGTTTATAAAATAAGATTTGTAGTAAATTATTCTGTCCTACAGTATATTCAAGAGCAGTTTACTCAATTTATCAATGAGCTGATTGAAAGATAATTACTTTGTATTCGATCATACAGTTAAAATATTTATGTTGTAATGCTAAAAAGTACAAGTTTTTCTTTTTGCTCTCCTCCTATTTAACTCTTTGAATTTAAATGTAAATGGTGCAATGAATAATTGAAGCAGTCCCCCATTATGTCAAGATTTTTTTGAAGGAATGCTTCCAATAAAAAATACATTTGTCTTTTTATTATGCATTCAAATTTCCAAAGCAGACATGTAACATGGTACTTTCCAGAGTTTTGGATCTGAATACGTCTTTTTCCTCTGCTCACCTGTGACTGACATGTTTGGTCTCGGCTCTGACCCCCTGCTGCTCCTTCAGCTCCCGGCATTTTGGGTCAACAGAGCTGCCCCTCCTCCGGTAATCCGGGTCAGTTCTGGGCCACTTTGTTGCTGTTCTGGGGGCGGTGGAGCTGGATCTGCCCCTCCTCTCACAGCTCGGTTTGCGGGCAGGTCCCCTCACCACGGTGCCCCCCTCATCCTTTTCCCTCTGCGGGCACCTTTGGCAGCTCGACGCGCGGCTTTTACGTACGGCGGGCACTATTGGTTCACTTGTAGTTCCGTTAACCGTGCGTACTTTCCCCGCTTTGCTCTTCTCTGGTTTTTTACTCGTCGCCTCCACTTGTTTTGACTTGATAACTTTTGTAGATTGCATTTTCATGTCAAGGTAATACAACCGGCATCTTTAAAATATCCAACTCTTCGATTAAAGTCACAAAAACCTACATTTTAAACTCTCAGGTGTTCGGTTGCTATGGTTGTTGTTGCACCCTAGCAACTGAAGTGTGAAGTCAGGGAGATCATGGTAAGAGTTCTGGTGCAAACTTTCAAAATAAAAGAACGAACCATGTAGCAAATATGAAAAAGGAATGTTTTATGACAAAAAAATTAAAGTATAAATAGAGGATACGAGTTAGTAATGTATGGCAAATAGATATATTTTCTGTACTTTTGGCTTTAGTTGCCATTATATCCAAATATAATCTTTAAATCAGATCATCAAAGTCCTCATCAGAATCAGAATACTTCATTTATCCCATCCTCCAAAAAATTAAATAAAGATATTTATACAAACATTAAAGGTTACGGTAAAATGTCCAATAAAAGATCAAATAAAATAGTGTAAATATGTTTAAGATATCAGAAGTCCAGCACGGATATCAAAATATGCAAGGATAAAACATCTGCTTTAGATGCATTAAAAAGAGAAGAATGTGCACAAATGTGGTAAATAATTAATTCTAAAGCAAATATGGCCAACTTCATCCATGGTTCTGGCTTTTTTTAATGTAGACATGCCACATAAACACAGAGGCAGATTGTTAGAGCAACCTTAAAAAATGTAGTGCAGACCAACAGGGACCAACATGATTGGTCCCAGCTGTTTGATGCCCTATTTTCTGTTACTTTTTTACTTTTAGCTGAAAACACTCCAGTTGCAAGTCTGCGTTTTATTTTGAAGGCCTTGGCGCCTGGTTTCCTGTGTGTTCCATGTAAATGCAGATTAAAGCGAGTGACGTCAGTATTAAGTCAGTTTTTCTTGTCAGTGTCCTACTATCACATGACACAATGCAGAACGTATGAAGAAATATATATTGCCTTTTGCATTTTCTTTCTTTTTGTTTCAGTACAAACTGAATAAATTACCATTACATACAATTAAAGAAAATTATAAAACCGTAATATTAGTTTTTAATATATTTCACTTTATATGACACTGATTAGAAATTGTAGGCAATGTATAGAACTAAACAAATAATGGTATCAATCATACATATAATTATTTTTGATTAAAGGTTGTCTTTTGTTTTGTGCAGTAATGCATCATTGCATGATTAATATGTAATGTCCTTTTCCATTGCTTTTACTCTTTCTTTACACTAATTATGCTGTAGTGAATCCAGCAACAAGTCTATACATTTAAGATAATTTGAGTTTATGAATGACATTGGTTCGTTCCCAATTCGTACAGCTCTCTACTGTAGGAAAACACATTTGATTTGTGATTGATTTATGCATGCTCCCAAACCTCCACACATTAGGCAATATATGGGACTGCAAAATAACTTAACAGTGTGTATACTGTGTTTAGTTTGAGTATGCATTTTGTTTTGCGCAGTAGCCTATTCGATTATTGCATGATTTATATATTGTTTCCCCTTCCAGTGCATGCGAAAGTAGGCTATATCCTGCAGCAGGGTGTTTCTGAGGCTCTGGTCCTCCTGAGCTCTGAGTGGTGCTGTCTCGCCGCTGCCTCCTTGTGAAATCTGCCTTGCATTGCATTTCTCCAGCAGCGGACTAAGCAGGCCCCTCGCAGCCGCTACACGGTGGCCCCAGGCCGGGCTCATTCCCACCACAGACCCGGCAGGTGTGACTGTGGTGGTTTACCGGAGAACGGCGGGCTCCACAACCGCCTCTGGATGCTAGATTTGCTCCGCGGGAGAAGCCGATGCAATCCTAATCAAAGTGCGACACACACACACACACAAGCCCATGCACATGATAAACGGGCCTCGCTTGCAGTGCAACTTGGCGTGTTCTGCCTCTCTGCAGGGGCTCGGGGTGGATAATCAGAGGTGAGGCTGGGGGAGTATTGTCTGGCGGAGGGTGACGCGCACTTTGCTGTCAGACGAGGAAGTGAGGGTGCTCACACACGCCCATTCTCAGCCTGTCGTCCCTTGCTAAAGCAAAGAGCTTCCCATCAGATAACAGCAACAGACTTTATAAACATGCGGGCACTTTCGGGGGGACAGCACCGGGAATAAGCTGCAGGACGAAGCCGATTTTCAGCGGTAGGTGACCGAGGCGCTTTACGCATGACAATTTCCCCAAATGTTTTTATCGTGAGACTTCTCCACTGCGAAGGCCTGTCTCCATCTTTATTTTTTTGATAGTCACATGTATGCTCTCTGGCCTATCTGTCACCGTGAACTGTGACTCTCCGTGTGTTTTCTGCGGGATAAAGTGACTCTGCAGGCCGCGGGAGTGAGCAGGCTGCGGGCCAGATGTCTGCATCTGCCCGCTGAGAGGCACCTGCCTGCGGGATGCTGTTAGCCGAGATCAGGCTGCATACTGAGCTCACATTTACTTCAGAAGCCCCCTTTTGATTCAACTTCGCACCCCCTTTCACTTGTAGTCATCCTAATTGTACACTGTAGTGACAGTAGGGGGCTCCTCATTCTGCAGGGGGGCCTCCTGGAGCCTCACTGGGACCCCTGGGTACCAAAACTCCCGTGTCTGTAATTTACAACTCGTTTTCTTCCAGTTTGGTTGTTGTTGTTAGTTTTTATAAAGGGCAATATAAACGTGCTAATATTAGTATACATTTATATTATGACTTTGTTATTATTATTATTATTATTATTATAAATAGTATTGTAATTATATTAATATATATGATGATATAATTATGAAAACAATTTCTTTTGTATTAGTTATGAAAGACAATTCAATTTTAAAAGGTTTTTATACGAGTTGCACATATTGACCTCCTTTTTTCTTTGTATTAAATGACTTGTGTGTGTGTGTGTGTGTGTGTGTGTGTGTGTGTGTGTGTGTGTGTGTGTGTGTGTGTGTGTGTGTGTGTGTGTGTGTGTGTGTGTGTGTGTGTGTGTGTGTGTGTGTGTGTGTGTGTGTGTGTGTGTGTGTGTGTGTGTGTGTGTGTGTGTGTGTGTGTGTGTGTGTGTTGCAGAGTGTTGAATGATGGACAGGGAGCTGGTTCGTGGGAGCCAATCTGAACATGGAGAGTCCACCAATGGGACCACGCCAGACACCTCCACCCCTACGACCCCCACCCCCCCTCGCCTCACCCCCAACCCCATGCTCCTCGACTCCCCTGCACCCACGGTGACTCCCACCACCTCCTCCCCTCCTCCCCCTCTCACCCCTGCTCCCTCCATCTCTGCAGCACACATACCGAAGGCGGCGGGGGCGGCTGCTCCTCCATCTCCCCACCTCCTCATCCCTGCTCCTCCTAAACTCACCTCCACCGCCACACCGGCCCTCCGCACCTACTCCCGCCCCATCCTCCCCTCCAAAACATCTCCCACCATCCCCTCCTCTCCTGTTGTAGCCAGCTCCTCCCTCCTCTCTTCTTCTTCTTCTTCTTCTTCTTCTACCTCCACCACCCTCTCAACCAAGACCTCCACCAGCCTCACCAACGGGAACACAAGGCCCACCCCCATCTCCACACCCATCACACCCTTTCACACACCATCCAGTCCACCTGGAAGACAGGTAACACACACACACACACACACACACACACACACACACACACACACACACACACGCACCTCCATATTATCCAACATTTATTATTATTAGCATTTAGAAAAAGTTGTAATATCGTGTTTTGTATTTATTGTCCATTATATTTCTCTTGTTTCAACTAGGATTTTATTTCTCACAATTTCAAAAAATATGATATTTAGGGTGATGTTTTTCTATAGTCACATGACCAACTTGCGAACTCTTTATTAGGAGGCTAAATTCCTGATGAAGGAAAGAAAGCAGAATATGTTGGTTGGCTACAAATATAATGGAAGATCGTTTGGCCTCTTAGTCAGTTGTCATTTGTTTTTTCTATTGATGGTCATTTGTAGTTCTCTTGGAAACCTGTACTGACTATGATTTATAACACATTTAAAAGGATTATTCTTTTGAATACTTGCATTTATGGTGATTGACAAGTCACATATTAGGACCCTTAAACCCTGATGAAAGGCAAAAAGTGGAGGATAAATATATTGGTGAATAAAACATGGCACGACATCTTTAATTTGGTTATGTTACAAATGTAACACATTAAAAGTTATAAATCCAGTTGTTACCCTCCAAAATGTGTACCCTGCTTGGAGGAAAGGAAAGTAATGAACATGTTTATGGAAATATAACCGCCCTGCTTTGCCTAGATGCAATCTTAGGTGCGTCGAAGGCGAGGACAGCAAGGACTTTGCTGTTATATTAACTAACAAGTGTGGAAATCAAATGTAGATGACACAGAGCGACTTTTTGCAAACAAAAATGCTGAAGTTGTCAGTTTTGCATTTCTTAAAACATCCTTTTACTTGTTTATTCTTTTGGTTTCCACCCTTTGTACACACTCACATGCTTACACACACACACACACACACACACATACACACACATACACATACACATACACATACACACACACACACACACCACTATCTTGCTTTTCTAGGAAATGTAACAAGACCTTCTCACTCCAAAGCTCTTTCTCTCCCCTCTCCTCCCCCATCCTCCCTTTGTTCCAGGTATCACAAGTTCACCCTGCGGGCACACCTGGTCTTGTGCGAGCCAATCAGAGTGCCTCCCCAGTGCGGCAAAGGGTATCCCAGCAGACCCTGCTCCTGGGGAAAGGTCTCAAAGGGTGCGGACAAGACCAGGTGCTGCTCAGAGCTCAGATGGTAAACATAGACGCACACACACACACACACACACACACACACACACACACACGCGCTTGACTCCCAGTATGATATAGGAGATAGAGATAATGCATTCAGATTCAGAAAGATTCATTAAGGTAATTTTCATGCAGAAATGGCTTTTTTCAGACTCTCAAATAAGTAGTGATTTCCCCAGTTCTCTATCTCACATTAACATGGTTCCTACAGTTTATTTCATGTTACGTTTCAAACTAATTTTATGCGGGGTATTTCTGCTATCCGGATATGAAAAAAAGCATTTCTGCTCAATTCAAATTGCTTTTGTAGAGACCCACACCCATGTTTATTCTTCTACAGCGCCATGTTTATTCTTCTAGACTCTGCTTTAATTCCTGCTCTCCTCTTTTCTATTTCCTCCCTTGTTTACTCTCTTGTTTCTTTCCTGCAGCTGATTCTTACGTCTGCTATGCGACCTGCACTCTCCTCTTCTTCTTCTTCCTCCTCCCCCGCCTCCTCCTCCCCTCTTTACTCTAACCCTGCCTCCGCTCAGGTGAGCAGCCGAGCAAATCCCACCTTTGTGCATGTATTTATTTAGTATCCTCTGTTTGCTAAGCTCTGCTAGACCTTGATGCATGACTGTGAAGCTTTTCTATTCTGTAGCACACATTACAGTTACTCATTTACCTTCATTTATAATATTTACAACATTGGGCGTTAGATTTCAGTCAAAGGATCTTGTTGCATCTAGCCAGCAACTGTGTTGTCTCTAAACAGTCAATTATAAATTGTTATAAGTGTAAGTAAAAAATGTTACCCATTAAGCTCAAGGACCAAACACTACTGTTGTTAGAAGGAACGCTGGTTTTCTACTGTTAGCCAAACATGCTAATGATCAAAGCTAACGATAAATTAAAGCAGAAAGTAAAACGATGTGTTTGGGATCTGATGTTTTTTTTATTCTGTCTTTCCCTCTGCAGCTCCAGAGTCTCACCCTCAGGCCTCCTCCCCCCGGGGTCCTCACCATCCCTCCCTCACTCCGCCTGAAGACACCCTGCTCCGCCCCGCCTCCCCTCTCTCGCCCTCACGCCCCCATCTTCCCCCCCCTAAGGCCCCGACCACAGTCTTGCAGCACAGAGACCCCCAACACGCCGAGCCGTCACCTCTCCGTCCCCCCGCCAAGTACGTCCCTGCAGGACAACTAAGAATAACCCTGGGTGTGAGAGTAGAGGAGGATCTCAGGAATAACATATTCATTTATATTTACTGAGGAAATATTAAACATCAGCAGAGAAAGACACTAAAAGTGAAAAAAACTCTGCATTTACATTAACCTGTCAATTATGACATTATGATTACATTGGTAAAACTAGTGCATTCCATCATAATATCATAACATCATTTCTCTGCTCTACCAATCTGAAAAAGAGAAATTCTGCAAAATACATTTTTTCATTTCTAGCAAAATAACGGGACCCTCTTCAGGTCCCTATAAGTAAAAACAAATAAAACAGTGTTTCACCTGTTTATTCCTAATTCTCTCACATCTCTATCTGTCAGGGATAGATACAAAAATGTACGTGCAATTTTATTATATGTATGTTTACATAATTATCTTAATACTTTTTACTCCCGTTAACTCTTTATTTCACCAATAAGCCATATGCAATGTTAGCTTTGTTCTGGTGTGCACTTGCCTTGTGAATAGAATGTATTTTTTTCTCTTCTTAATGTTTTCTCTTTGTTTATTCTTCAGCTCTGTACTCTCCCGTGCGAGCCGTCCCGCTGCGCCCCCGGCTCCACTCTCCAAACGGACACCGGGTGGTGTCCTCTCGTCAAACCTCGACCCTTCAACCCATTGCTGCAGCCCCCGTCTGCCAGGCCCCCCCCACTCGCTCGCCACTGTCTGCACTGAAGAGCTGTCCGTTAACCCAGACTCTGCTCGGCCAATCACAGCACAGTTCCTTACCCGGGACCACGTCTGCTTCCTCTCACTTTGAGCGCACGCCGTCTGCGGCGAGGCAGCTGCAGATCATCGCCCTCTCCTCGGGACGCCAGACCAAGCCTTGCACGTACCCCCCCGCTGCATTAGCCCCTCCTACTGTGGAGGTGCAGGAGAAGCCAAGCCAATCAAAGAGGACGTTGAGCGGCGAATACGTCCTTCCTCTTCCTCGTCCTCTGATGCCCTCGTTGCCAAAAAACAGCTCGCCTCCATCCCTCCTGAGTCCGGCTTCCCCTCCTCAAACACAAACTCTTCTCCGGAGAGGAGAGGGGAGGGAGGAAGAGGAGCAGAGAGAAGGAGGAAGAGGGAGAGAGGGAGACAGAGAGGAGCTGAGGGGGGAGAAAGACGACCAAAGAGGGAAAGAGAAACAGAAGCTCCCTCCTGAGAGGGAAGAAAGCATCGTTGGTCAGAAGAAAGAGGAAGAGGAAACAGTCAGAGTGGAAGAGCACATGGAAGTGACGGAGGAAGGCCAAAGTGATGGACAGAAGGCGGGGAAAAAGATGGAGGAGGAAGGAGAGAGCGCCATGGACCAGTCTGAGAGTCTCCATCAGGACCAGAACTTAGATACTGACCCTGTTGAAGACGAGGAACAGAAACCAGTCCTGGGTCCAGCTCCAGAGTCTCTGCAGCCGGGCGGTCAGGAGGACTTCAGTGAGGACATGTCCACTCAGTCTGACAACCAATCAGGTACCTCCATCTGTACACCTCTCAGAGCACGCTTCACCCCAAAAAAACAATAATTTGTATTTACAGGATGGCCGAGTTCCTACTAATGCTGTACTGAGTGTCTTTTTGTGTCATTCAAAGCTTCATATACTACATATCTTCCTGTTTTGGATTGACAAAATAACACAGTTAAATAATTGGAAAAAGTTGGATCGAAATGTTTTTGTTTGTTTGTTCTTTTAAAGATGAACTATTTATTAATTTATTTAACAACTTATTGACTCTGACATTTGTCTGTTCTTCTCCCAGCGTTATCCAGCCTCTCCTCCCAGTCTCCCCCCTCCTCACCCTTCATCTCCCCCTCTGGAGAACCCCATCCTCCCCTCCTCCCCCCTCAGCCTGCCCTCCCTACTGACCTCAGCCAATCACAGCCCGAGAGGGAAAGAGTTGCAAAATCAAACGGCGAGTCGCAGCCACCAGAAACGGCGACGGAGCCCCTCGGCCAATCAGGAGACGAGTCGGAGAACTTGGACCAATCGCTAAGTAGCCCCTGGGAACCGGGGGCGTGGCCTGAGGGGAGGCAGGTGCTGACTCACCTGGTGGAGGGCTTCGTCATCCAGGAGGGGCTGCAACCTTTTCCAGTATGCACAAATACACACACACACACTGTAAATAGAAAATGTATTCAAAATTGAGTGCAAACGTATTAGCTTCAAAATATACTTAAAGTTACCAATGAACAAGTCCTTACTATGCAGAATTGCCCATTTCAGAATGATATACAATGGATTACAAACAGTGTGTACCTTGCACATTAGCGTGTGTTTGAGCACCTTTCTGTTCCTGCAGGTGAACCGCTCGTCCCTGCTGGTTCCCGCGCGGGTCTCCACGCCACAGGAAGTGAACGGGACCAACGGCAGCGCAGAACTTCCTGTGACGGACACAGAGAAACCAGCTGAGCACTGCATCGAGTCAGAGGGGGAGGTGGGGGGAGACGCAGAGGACCCCGACAAGAGTAAGACCTTATGTGAAGATCTAGTTTATTTGCACATTTTTAATTACACATAACAAATCTAATAGACTGCAGGAAGAGGCAGAAACCCCACCTAAACAACAATAATATTTCAAACAGACAACTCACAGTGATAAAAAAAATATGAAACCCTCCCTGCACATATAAGGAGCAACAACATGAAACCCCTGTTTGTTAAAGTTAAAAAAGTAGTTGATCCTCTTTCTACTAAATATGAATTGTTGTCTGCAGATTTAATGTCTTTGAAATAAAAACACAGTCGACCATTAATCTTTTTATGTGATATGTAAAAAATAACACTTGATAAGACTATTTTTAGACTCAGTTTATATATATTGGACATTTTCATTAAGCAAAACATTCTCAGAAGTGAGAATTTGTGGCTTCTTTTTAACCTAAAAGGAGATAAGGTGGTCCTTCTTCTACCATATTCTTCTTTGCTGAATATTTAATACATGTGCAGCCTTAAATCCTCTGAAAAAAAACACTCTCTGTCTCACACACAGGTCCGGTACAAAGGGACAGGACGGTGCTGCACTGTCAGTTCTGCGGGAAGCGAGGCCACGCGCACAACTTCATGCGGTCCAAACGCTTCTGTTCCACTTCCTGTGCACGCGGGTGAGAATCAGAAACACAAAGGCTCTGTCTCTGAGCTGCAGCTGTGTGTTCAGGGGTGTTGCTGCGCTGGCAGGATGTGGTGTGTGTGGCCGTTGCAGAACACACACAGGTGTTACATGCACAGTGCGTGTAAATTAAAACTATTTGTATTCCTGCCTCAGGTTTAACGTGCGTCTGACGAAGCGTCTGCGGGCTCTGAGCGCAGGGAGCCGGTCTGAAAGGCCCCGACCCGCTCTGAACAGGGCCGAGTCCGTCCCGGGGAAGCCTCTTTTACTGAGACTGGTAGGGACCCTGAACTCACCACCAGTTTAAAATAAAAACTAACACTCACTACACAAATTACCCCGAGTTTACCTCATATAAGTGACCTAGGGTGCAGCAAAATACCAGAATTGATTTTCAAAAGATTATATATTTTAAATAAATAGGTTTCTTATACTCTTAGGACATTATCTTGTAAATAATCTAGCGCCCCCCTAAATAATTTATTTCAGTTTTTGCTTGTCTCCCATTATTGTGTTTAATTTGCAAAAGAGAGACAAAATGCACAATAAAAAAGTTTAAGATTTTTTTTTTGTATTCACACTAACTTTAAACAGCAGGGGGAGACATTTGAAAACTAGTATTAATATTTAAAAAATACATACAAATAATTATCAATATATAACTAAAAGTCCTCAAATTAAAGAAAAATAAGAACACTTAATACAATTTAAATAAAATGAAGAGATGATTAGTCAGGTGGCAAAGTTTGTATTAGTTCAATTAATCTGTAAAATATGTTCATTTATAAAAAAGAATAATCAGAGCTGCCAGACTGAGACTTCACTCCTAACTATGAGAAAAATAAAGTATAATATTAACAAGACACAGATAAATGTTTGGGGAATAAAAAGAGAACCCAAATATAAAAAGAGACAAATCCCAGAACTGTTGTCAATATTAAAAATAACCACGCCAGAATGATAAAAGTCATCATGTCAACATTATTCAAAGAAGTAATTCAGATTAACAAAACACAACAAGATGCAGACCACACAACTACAAAACAACTCAAGCATGTTAGCATAGTAACATTTAGCTTGTGAGCTAGCAATGGTACTATGGTTGTTAACCAACATGCTAGCATATAGCATGTAGCCTAATGTTTAGCACGTTTTGCTACTGCTAGCATGTCTTTATGTTCAACTGTATTCCATGATTAAACTCATCAAATGAGGGCCTTTCAGTTTGCTGTAAAAGTCTGCAGTTAAATCCTCTTCTCAGTCCTCAATGTTTTCACCAAAATACACCTCAGTGCTCACACAGGTGTTATTAAAGAGCCTCAATGTCTTATGGGATTTGTAGTTCTGAGGGCTCTTTTGAAACTATTTGGTTTAAGATTGAGTTATTTTACTTTTGAGTTAGCCGTTAATACTTCTGTACTTTTTGCAGCGGTGAAAGAAATATTCAGATGTGTCAGTTAAAGTATTAGTAACACCATGAAAACAATCACTTTTAAGTGAAAGTCATTAAAGTACATTATTATAATAAGTAAAAATAAAGTATAGAGAACGTATCTAAAGTATTATACAGGACAAAACATCAAAACTATTTTAAAATAAGTAAAAGAAAAATCAACAACATCAATTTAGAAAAATGACCAAACAGTTAATAAAATAGTTGCCAATTGTTTTGTTGTCTACTGATTGGACAGGCTGTCTCTCTTATATTATCTTTTGTGACATTTAATTTTTAACACAACCTAATATTTTAGTTTTTTTGTATTTAAATGTTTTGTATTTGTTTTACTACGGATGTCAAGTACTTTAATTTGAAATAAGGTGCATTACTCAAGATTCATTTGTAAGAAAACATCTTAATATTTGAAGTAACTTGAGCTGTCAGATAAGTAAAAGTACAATATTTACCTCTCAAAGGAAGTAGAAGTATAACAAATGGCATGAGAAGGAAAACCTCAAGTAAAGCACATGTATCAAAGAGCATTACTTGAGTAAATGTACTTAATTACATTTTAGCAAGATCTTTAAGTATTAAAATAATAACAGATTAACTCACAATTCTTCTGCAGCCTCGTGATCTGTGGAGCGCCGGGCGGCGAGAGAAGGAGGGGAAGGAGAAGGCGACGGAGGCAGAAGAAGATGAGGAGGAGGAAGAGGAGGAGGAGGAGGAAGAAGAGGAAGAAATGGAGGGAGGGGGAGAGGAGGAAGATGATGAGGGGGAAGAAGATCCTGCTGTCGCCATGACGGCCAGGATGGAGCGGCGGGCGGCGAGGAGAGCGAGGAGGGCATCCGCCCCCCCGCTGACCACGCCCACCCCCAAACCAACGAGCACCTTCAGACCCCCCCCCACCCAGTGGAGCGTGGAGGAGGTCACCGCCTTCATACACACACTGCCAGGTACATTTCAAATAAAGGCTTTACATCAGAAAATTATAATTGTAAATGTAATTATATCATGGGTAACAATCGGTCTAACATGACAAACTCTAAGGCCCCGGCTCCACGGGAACGCATATGGCAAAACGCATCGGAGTAACCGCAAAAAACCTTCCGCCCACACGCAATATACACCGGATTGTGTCAAGCTCCACGAGACGGCTCCGTTTACATCCAACCGCTGGAAAAGCTGCAGTACATATGCCGAGCCTGTACGTGGCGCTGTAACTTCCTCCACAAAAGCAGCAACTTCCTCCACAAAAGCAGCGAAGAAGAATGGTTGTCATGGCTGCACTTCTGTTTATTCTCCGCGGTGGGGGCCGAGGGATCCGGGCAGAGTTTTTCGCCGGTCAACGTGTGTTAAAGTTTAAATCTTCCGGACAAAATTATGTGCCGGTCAAAGGTCTTCTTTGTTATTTATTGAGCTTTAAAACAAATGAATAACGACGATATAATGATATATAATCATAAAATACACGGAGCCTGTCTCTTTTTCCTCTCTTCTGACAGCGTCAGTGTCTGTCTCATGCAGCAGCTGATCCTGTAATGATGACTCGACAGTAAAAATAAACATATTTATAACTAGTTTAGGTAGTTTGAGAGGTAATTAAAATAGCTAAGGGTGATGATCTGACTTGAAGTGTGTGTTTTGCTCCCGCTGCATCACAGCCGGAGGAGCTGCGTGTCTCCGTCCTGTCAGATTAGACTTCACTCGCGTTTATGTCCATATCGAGATAAAGATAAATAATCTGAATTCAGTGTGCAGTGTACTTTTGCGGGGGTGAGCAGCAGAGGCGGGGAGAGGCGGGGCTATTGCGTCGTCATTATCAGAAACGGATGACCGTATAGGCTACCACACGGCCCCGTTGGACCCCCCAGAGCGCTCCGTTCCCAGATCTATCCACCTTTGGACCCGTTGTCGTTTGCAGGGTCTGTTTCTACGTTTCCGTTACGGCGTCGTCGAGCTTAAAGGGCTATACGCATGAGAAATATGCGGATTCAACCCGTTTTCGTTCCCGTGGAGCCTAGGCCTAAGTATGATCCTTTTTCTGGGGTGACCGGGATTTTTTAAGTTTATAGAACAAACAATTCTTCTTAATAATTGTCTCTGCGACCTCAGGGGAAAAAGGCAGTTTGATTTACACAAAATAAAACAGTATAAAATGACTCCACTGTCATTCAGTCTGATTTACACTCGAATGTGTTAATCATGAGCAGATGACATGTTCTTCATCCAATTAAGTGTTTCGCAAAATACTGAAATCAACCGCAGGCTGAGGCAGCATATTTTCATCCTCCACTGTGAAACATCTGGAAGAAAATCTGAAGAGTGAAACACAAGTGTTAAAGTATCTTCTCAGAAACACAGAAGAGTTTATCAAGAAGGTTTAGGTCATTTAAAAACAATTTCAATAACCTGAACATATTTGGCGTAGTTTTTGGCTTAAAGAAACACAAACTAATTGAGAAAATAATCAACAATGAAAATAATCGTTAGATGCAGTGCCTAACGCTTTAAGATTTTCACAGTGTTACAAAACTGTAAAAAGTATATCTGTTTTTAAAATGAAAGCTACAGCTTATTTATTTGTGTTTCAGGCTGCAGCACCAACACCTCGAGAGCTGAAAATATTAATTACTTTTCAATTAACATAGCTCTAAAAGCAAGTAGATTGAGCAGGGGATTTGAAGAAATGTACAGTATAATGTGTGAAGAATATGCGCAATTTCCAGAGATAATAGGGCAATACATGTGCATTAATGTTTTGCTAAGAGACACATCAACACCTTGTTCAGAATAAGCTGTTTAGAGGATGGAAATGTGTTTTTAAATATGATCCGATCTCATCTTTTTCTCCGTGTTTCAGGCTGCAGCGACGTGGCCGAGGCGTTCCGGCTGCAGGAGATCGATGGCCAAGCTCTGCTGCTGCTCACTGAGGACCATCTGATGACCAGCATGAACATCAAACTTGGACCAGCACTCAAGATCTGCGCTCACATCAACACACTGAAAAACCAATGAGAGACAAAAACAGACAAAAAATCAAGCAATGGAGGAAGTTAAATGTGAAGAGAAAGGAGAGTTTTTATGAAAAGCTGACACCAAGGATGACAGAACAAAGTCACAAAAAGAGGTTCACGGTAATTTATGAGATTATAAATCAAGGTGTGGCCTTAGGGAACAGAAAAAAAGTCCGGAAGAAATTCAATCCGTTCTGGGGCTGTAGCACGAGAGATTTTTGTAACTTTGTGTATATTTTACATGCCGCTGGAGAGTGTAAATTTGAAGCTATTTCATGAAGGATTTTGAACATTTAATATATAAAATTTGTCTATTTAGTTTTTTTAGAATGTGACGTCAACGACAAATCTATTCAGTAGCTAACATAACCGGTGTGTGTAAAAATAATAATAATAATAATAATAACACGTAGACTTTGTAAGTGATTCATGAAAGTTTAATGTTTTATATCACTATATTCTCGACAAAAACATGTCTGTGGATTAAAAAAAAGTCACTATCAGGGTAGAGGCTGGTGTCTTTAATCATCACATTTTTATGGTATCATGCCTGAAATTATTTAATAAATAAATAATTAATCAAAACGATTGTTTTATCTTATTGTTTGAATAGAAAGAAATATGTTTTACACCAACAGAGGGCCACAGTGAGACAGGTAAGTGATATATGAAGATAAATCTGTATTTTGTTAAATAAACTAATATGAATTCACCTCACAAAGTTCCTTCCGGAGATCCAAAAACCTCAAATATGTGCCAAATATTCCAGGTCTGTCTGCTTTTCTGATGAATTGAGGTTTTTGTTTTTCTATCTTTCCATATCTGGTTTAGGTTAGGATCTCACATGAGCTCTGATTGGCTTAAAGTGTGGAGTGAGGGTAGGCATTTCACCACACCCTATAATAAATCTTATTCTAGGCATTTTTCTGCGGATCAGCCTCAGGCACATTAACGGGACATAGCAGGATTATTTTCTTCTTAAGTTTCTGATCTAAAATACTTATTTTTTCAAGAAATTACATTTTCATTTGTATAAATCAATTGCATTTTTTTGGAGCAATATTGGGGAACTTTTCATCTTTTTATGAGCAGAGTAGAGAAAGATACAAATTGTACTTTTTACTTCTGCGTTTTGAGTCGAGTTTTTGAGTCTTTTGTAAAATAAACTAGACTTTTAAAAGTATATATCTGCAAGGAGAGAGAAAAAACTATATTTAAAACAAATTTGTTGAAAAGAATCCGGATTTTTAAGATTTAGTGTGTTTTTAATCGGCGCCTAATTACGCACGGCAGCTCCATGGCGCACATGTGCAGGCTGGTGACCGGCAGCGCGGCCAGCTGTGCGGGCTGGGTGGGGATCATCGTCGCCACGGCCACCAACGACTGGGTCCGGACCTGCGAGTACGCCCTGGCTACCTGCATCCGCATGGACGAGCTCGGTACCCGGGGACTGTGGACGGAGTGCACGATCTCCCCGGCGCTGTACCACTGCCAGGCGCTCAGCCAGATGCTCAGCCTGCCCGGTAACATCACTATTACCTTATCTTTTTAATTAAATTGTGGGTCGGTGTATTCCGTTACATTACTAATTACCTGTGAGAAAAATTAAGTCATTAACCTAATCTTAGTATCGAAATGTAACCTGATTACTTTCTGTTACTTTCTGTTACTACCAAATGATCAATTTAAAATGCAGTTCAAATAAAGAGAAAATAAAATAAATACCATACATTTCAAGCATACAGTATTTTTGTTTACAAATCAGATCAGAAAAATAGCATAATAATACAATTAAAAAAGAAAAAGAATGAAAGAATCCTAGCTATCCCAAGTTTTGAATTACAATATATAGTATAATTCTCCAAGTATTAAACTGTAAATGGTTCTTTAAATTAGATGTGGGCTCTTTGGATAAATATTAACAGCTGAAAGGCACCGTTAAGGGATCAATACCTTTATTTGCATCCTGATTACGCAATCCCGTTACATGTAATCCGTTACTCTCTAAACCTCATTCAATCTTTTTACGAGTTTGTGCATAACACCCCCCCCCCCCCCCCCTCCTCTCTCTCAGCTTACGTGCAGACGTCTCGTGCCCTGATGATCTGCGCATGTCTGCTCGGCCTGCCCGGGATGCTGCTCGTGCTCATGTCCATGCCCTGCGTCCGGCTGCAGAATGACAACTTCGCCGTCAAGCAGCAGCGAGCCCGCGTGGGGGGGGGTCCTCTTTATCCTCATGGGTAAGAGCAAGCACGCACGCACACGCCCGCAGACGCGCACACACGCACGCACACACACACACACGGAATATATAAGTTTTTGGTTAATTGGTTAATTGACTGATAAACCTCTTTATTTGTGTTTAAAGGAGACAGACATTAGTTTACAATTTAGTAAACTGATTTTGATTTCAGAGGACAGTTTCAAGAGAAATTAGTTTTGGTTTAGGAAACCATCAATTTTAGAGGACAGTATATGGGGTTTTACAGGAATTAGTTATGGCTTTTGGGTGTATTGATTTAAGAAGACAGACAATATTTCAAGGACCGAGAGTTTCGATTCTAGTGGACAAAGTTTTGTTTTAGAGGAATGTAGGAATATACAGTAGGAGTGGTTTTTGGAGACAGTGATTTAAGAGGACAATATGTTAGGGTGTGCAGCATTCAGGTGTTTCCCAGCTGTTGCAGGGGGAAGGAGGCAGAGGGTCTGTCAGACGGCCTCATCCTGACCGGGTTCATCTACTTCCTGTGGGAAAAGACACATACTTTGTTACAACCACATGGAAAAGAAACTCTCTGAAACTCCTCCATTCTTTAGGCCAAATAAATTGTAATCTATCCACTTCTGTCTTTATAAACGTACCCTTTTTTTCCAGCTTTGTGTGGCATCATCTCCACGGTGTGGTTCCCGATCGGCTCTCACCAGGAGGAGCATTTGATGTCGTTCGGGTTCTCTCTGTATGCCGGCTGGGTGGGCTCCGGTCTCTGCCTCCTGGGGGGCGTCACCATCCTGTGCTGCCAGGGCACTGACCCCGGGATCCCCGGCCGCGACAACAGCTTCTACTACTCCCGTCAGAGGGGCACTGCCACGCCGCTGGACCCCCCCGCCAACCATGCCAAGAGTGCACGAGTGTGATCACTGAAATTGATCAGCATAAGACTGTGCATCTTCTTTTCTTACACTTAGATTTGATATGTGCGCATGTAAGGGTTTATTTCCAAACTTCTTTTGGGGCACAAATAATCACATTGGTCAAATTGTTGTATTCTATACGCAGATTTTAAAGTTTTATCAGCCAATAATGTCAGCCAAAAATGTTGTTTTTAATGTTATCTGTCACATTTTTGTCATTGGTAAATGTGTTTTGGAAAAGTTTAACTAGCGAATGTTTTCATCGGTTGAATTTCTTTTTTGTTATTATTACATTCCCATTTAATGAAACTGCATTGTCACTGACATTACAAGAGAGAGGTATTTTCTCCAGAATTACAATTCAATTTACGTATCAAGCCGCAATGCAACAGTGTCCTAATCTGCATTCTCTCTGATATCCAGCCGGGGGCAACTCCACTGGATGATTGTACAGAAGTCTATGAAAAAATGACCCTACTACTGATTTGATTTATTACATAAGTAAAGATCTTCCTGATAAATGTATGGTCTCAATCTTTAGTTTTAAGTCTTCTTCAATACAGCAAGATGTTAATGTAGTACATTTTGGACCCATTCAGAGTGAAATAGATGACAAAGCAAAGTATGCTTTAGGACGGGGCTACATTGTGATTGATAAGTCAATCTTTTGCAAAAAGGACCCCTTTCCCGTGTCATCGAGAATGCAGTTTCATTGAATGATAAGGTCTTTTTTTAAAGTTTAACATTTTAAGAATCTGTGACTTTCATAATGATTTTTATACTTTAAATAGCATGAATACATTTTGAAAATATCACCTGAAGTATAAAGAATTTAATTCATTTGTTGTTACATGTTCTCCTTTAATTCATGTACCAATAACTGTATAACCTTTATTTTAATTGTAGCTTCTTGATCTTAACAGCATAATCAATATGTATCAACTCTAGTGTAAGATTGTTGGCTGGTGCTACACCCAATAAAAGTTTTTAAATAATCAAGAGTGTCAGAATAAATAACTTCACTCAAAATGAGACATTTATTCCTCATAACTCATTTAGACACATTAACCCAATTATCAGTTTGAAGTGCACGTTATAAAGCAAACACTCTTTCAATTTTAAAACCATTCACTCAGCACTCTAACACAAAACAAACACAAAAGTTACTTTTTGAGGCTTCAGAAAGCCGCTGCAAATATGTTTGGAGATGCCATTTAAACAAGAAAATCTTGAATAAAATCCTTGACTTCACGAAATGCAATTTGGGTTATTCATAAAATTAGTTTTTTTAGATTGATGGTCAGCGATTTATTTTGGTGATAGTAACTCTTTTACTGCTAGGACAGACCTAAATGCGTTTTTCTGGGTGAATCAAAATTCACCAAGACAAGGGGTAAGAGAAGAGGAAGGCTTGAGAATGGCGGCCATATTTTCCTTAACTTTTTTTTTTTTTTAACTCCACATGACTCTGCTAATGATTTTAGAAACAGTTCTGCTTAAATATCTGAGAATATATAAGGAGCTCTACAAAGCCAAACCAAGCTATTTTCTTTAAACTTGGGTCTTGAAAACAATGTATGTGAGTGATGAGATGTTTCCAGACTGAATTGCATACAAATTCTTATCTTCAGCAAAAATGCTTCTAAAAAATAAAAGAGCAACTTGGGTTAAAGTAGTTCTGTTAAAAAGCACTTGTGCTTCTCTCACAGGGAAGTTTTGAATTGCAACACCACCGCAACACCACTGAGTCTCACACAAACATGCAAACTAAGGAAAGAAACGGGATAGACGTTTGTGGGACAAAATTGTGAAAAAATAAGAATTAACTGCACCCGTTGCAAAGAAACATCTGTGATGGGAGGTTTCCCTCGTATCCTCTGATCCTCTTATCCAAACCAGGTTTTGAGCTGAGCAGAAAATATGAAAGTAACAGTGTCTCATGTGGACGGCACTTTCAAAGTTTAAAGTGATACCACAGGGTTCTCAGTCCTCTTCCTTAAAGCCATGATTGGTCCTTCCTCTGCTGGACTGGTATCCGTCCCCATCCCCCTCCCCCTCCCCCTCATACTGCTCCTGCTCTCCATCCTGGTCCTCCTGCTGGATGTTCCCTCTCTCCTCGGGGGCGGACCAGCCCTGGTAGGGCCTCTCTTCCTGGTCCTCGGGGGGGGAGCATTTCCTCAGGGGAGAAGGCGTCCAGGTTGTCATCGTAGCGCTGGTAGGAACTGGCGTGAGCCTGCTGCTCGCGGGCGTTTACCTCCAGAGTGCTGTGCCACACCCCGTAACATCCGTAGATCAGCAGACCTGAGGACGGGTAAACATAAATTATTCAATCGTCTGTCAAATAACTACAAATTTAAAGATGAATACTTTCATCATCCATCAAATAATGTCAGATTTAAAGATAAAGAGATATGGCATGAGGATTTGGCCTTGTTTTCTCTCACCTATGAAGCACCAGATGGTGAACCTAGCCCAGGTGAGCGGAGACAGTTTTAGCATGAGGTAGCTGTTGACCAAAATGGCCGCCGCGGGAACGAAGGGCACACATGGCGCCATGTAGGGCAGCTTCATCCCGCTCTCCGGCTGCTGTATGATCAGTATTAAAAGCTTCACCAAGGACCCCGCCATCAGTGTAGCCGTGAGGCCCGAAAACACAGCCGCGGCACCGGCTCCCTGCTCAACGCCGAATATGACGGTTGACCAGAGGAGGAAGGAGGTGATGAAGAAGAGGAGGGTGCAGCGGGTGACTATGCGGCCCGTGGCGGGGGTGGGCCTTGCAGACGCACTGGGAATCCCCAACCGCAGTCGCAGGGTGTAGTAGTGACCTCCCAGAATCCTTTTCAGCAGGGAGGCGCGGCCTGTGTGGAAATCAGAGTCGTCCCCCTCTCCTTCAGTCCCTCCCGTGTGGTAGGAAGCTGACCCGTCGCCGTCTCCGATCAGCATGTGGTCGTCTTTCGTCGGGACCTCTGCGTTGTTCAGGTCGCCCCCGTCGTCCTCTGAGGTGAACTGGTGTGTGTCGGTGTTTTCGTCTGGCTGGTATCGTAGCAACAGCACACACACGCTCACAAGAGTGTAGGCCAGCAGCGTGCCGATGGACATCATCTCGATCAGATCCCGCAGGCTCACCAGCAGAGCGAGGACCGCAGCGAGGCTCCCTGACACCACGCACGCCAACACTGGAGTGTGTGTGAGCACAGACACGTGGGACAAGCACCTAAACACACATTATTACACAGTTAGCTATAAGTTAGCAAAGCATTGTAGCACGGGCGTGGAAAAGCATGCACAAGTGTAGACTTTTAAGATCTCCTTTTTTGCAAACATTAAAAAGCCATTTAAAATCAGTAGGTTATTTGTGCATGTCTAAAGCATCTTTGCACGACCAAGCGGGGCGATAACTTGTGTAGCCTTCGAAAAAAAACGCAATGTCATCACCTTCTGTTCCCTCTGGAGTTTGCTGCCACCTCACCTGAACAGCAGGCCATCCTGGGACATGGCGTAGATGACCCTGGGCAGGGGGAACAGAGAGCCCAGCAGAGAGACCGTGAGCCCGGCGATGGAGCCCACCGCCACGATGTACTTCCCCCACAGGAAGCCGTGCACCGCAAACATCTCCATGAGAGGAGCGGAGCCGTCGATCAGCTCGTAAGGAACCATGAGTGTCAGGATCACACTCACCTGTTCAGAAGGAGGTCAATATATGCGAGAACATCTATTTTTACTGTGTGTCCCGCTCTACCCATGCAAAGGTCAAAAAGGTCAATAGTAATGGAGTTAGTCAAATCAACTCTTAGCACTCAGCAGCAAATTCACTTCAGATTTTAATGTTGTAGCAAGTATAAAAGTGATATTTAGTGTTCTTCTTGTATGGCATACTGACCGACACGTATGCGGTGAGGCAGGAGACCAGCGAGGCGGTGATGGCATACGGGATCGAGGTGTTCGGGTCTTTCGCCTCCTCTCCGGTTGTCGCAATGATGTCGAATCCGATGAAGGCGTAGAAACATGTCGCTGCACCTTGCATCACCTGATCAGCCATAAGAGATTAACTTAACTTTGTGGATCTTGAATGTGATTTAAGGAATACGTTTTCAGATTTTTCACTACACCTATTATACATTACACCATTGTATCTCACCCCTGACCAGCCGTATGGCAGGAAGTTTCCGCTCTCCCAGTTTTTAGCTGAAAGGAAGAAGAGTCCGGCGATGATCATGAAGACCCAGACCACCAGGTTGACCACGTTCAGAACGTTGTTGAAGCCCACCGAGTTACGCACACCCAGAACGATGATAACGGTGACCAAGAGCGCGATAAACAGGGCCAGCAGGTCGGGGTACGTGTCCTCACCCTTACCTGAGGACACGTAACATATTACATCGATATGAAGAGAAATAAGTTGGTAACTAAGATACCTTTTGCACAGTTTTTGTTGTTTGAATCAGTTTTCTTACTTTGCACAGACATTAACCAAAGTCATGGACTAGGTTCATATTTTTTTACAGAACAACAGAGCCTCACACGGGGCACCAAAGTCCCATGGGACCTTAGGAACACACCAAACAGAAAGTAGATCCTTTATTAAAAAAAATGTAGTTTTGTATTAACTGTCATTCTACTCCAAATTCCCCCCAGAATAAATGAAGTATTCTGATTAAAGTAAAAGAACCCAATATTGCATCAATATTCATAATCCAATAGTTTCCTAAATATAATTCCAAAATGGCACATAACACATACTTTTACTTTTGTTACCTTAAGGTCATGTTGATGCCAATACTTTTGTACTTTTAAAAGTCAGATTTTAGTAAGGTATACAAGTATTTACAATGTATGCCTGCACAAAAATGTCTGAATACTTTTTCCAGCCCTGGGAAAAGCTACTACTGGTACTGACCGAGTCCTCGGAGCGTGCCCAGGTGTGTTATCATGTAGTTACTGATGGTGTGATTGGCCAGAGAGTCGAACATGCTGCTGAGAGCCGACGCCCCCGCCGCCGTGCCGATCAGATACTCCAGGATTAAGTTCCAGCCAATGAAAAACGCCACAAACTCCCCGACCGTCACGTAGCTGTAGGTGTAGGCCGAGCCCGTGGTCTTCGGGACTCTGACCCCAAACTCTGCGTAGCACACACCTGAGGACGAAAATACATGTGCTCAATGAGAATAAACATCTCATCTTTATATACCAAATGAAACTGATTCACTCCAGACTTGTTGACTCTCTGTGGGACTACGATTGTTTTTGGAACTGTGAGGAAGAGACTCATCAATGTGTTCTCACCTGACAGTATGGAGGCCATCGCCGCTATAATAAACGACAGGATGACCCCGGGCCCAGCCATCGCCTTGGCTACCAGCCCGGCGACCACGTACATCCCGGTGCCGACACAGCTGCCCACCCCGAGCGACACCAGGTCCACGGTGGTCAGGACCTTAGCCAGCCCGACCCCCGACCCCTCCCCGAGCTCGGTGAGGTCGTCGGAGCCGCGAGCCATGGAGCCCATCGGCTTGGTCCTCAGCAGGCGGGAGTACATGTTGAACCAGGCGTCGCCCAGAGAGAGGCGGCCCAGCCACGCCGCCATCACCGCACCTGATTCTCACTTCACCTGATTCAACTGTTTAAGCTTCTTTGTGGCTCCTTCTACCTTTTCTTTGGCACACCCTCTATCATTCTTTCTCTCCCATTGTGAGTCTCCTCATCAGGGTCCCCACTTTCTTCTTCTTTAAGAGCAACACATCCAAATGGGGGACATGGACGCTGTTAAAAGAACAATTCACATGATTTAGTAATAGTATGAACGACAAAGATAAACAAGCAATTCCCTTACTATCCTACCTAATTGTCCATCCCTTTTCCCTTTTAATTCATCTCGCATGCTGTGGATCTACACGGGAGGAACTTGTTAATGATCTCAAGGCAGCTGGGACCACTGTCACCACAAAACTATTGGTAACACACTACACCATAATGGACAAAATCCTGCAGCTCCCACAAGGCCCCCCCGCTCAAGAAGGCTCATGTACGAACCGTCTGAAGTTTGACAATAAACATCTGAATGATTCAGAGAAGGCTTGGGAGAAGGTGATGCAGTCTACATCGAGCCAGGACACTGAACATGGGTCCTGGAGGGGTCTTCCAGCAGGAAAATAAACCTGAACATACGGCCAAGGCAACAAAGGAGTGGCTAAAGAAAAAGCAGATGTAGGTGATGGAGTGGCCCAACCAGCCTCCAGACATTAATCCCATAGAAAATCTGTGGAGGGAGCTGGAGCTTCGAGATGCCAAGCATCAGCCTCAAAACCTTCAGGATTTGGAGAGGATCTTCAGAGAGGAGTGGACCACAATCCTTCCTGAGATGTTCACAAACCTGGTGACCAACTACAAGAAGCGTCTGACCTCTGTGCTGTCCAACAAGGGTTTCTCCACCAAGTACAAGACATGTTTTGCAAGGGGATCAAATACTTATTTCCCACAATTGTTATCTTTTATATAATGTCAATTTCTGGATTTTCTTTTTGATATTCTTACTCTCGCTGTTAAAATAAACCTACCATTAAAAATATAGACTGCTAATTTCTTTGTAAGTGGGCAAATTTACCAAATCTGCAAGGGATCAAGGTTCAAGGTTCAAGGTTCATGGTTCTTTATTGTCAATCTGACATAGCTACAGAGTAATTATGTAGTTGAAAATCTTATGTCACAGGCTTCTCCAACAATGCAACATAATAACATAATAACAATAAGAGCAAGATCAATACAAAAAGAATAATAGTTATAAAATAAAATAAAGTTATGATGTGGAATAGTGCAATAGAGTCTATATACAAGTTATTGGAATGATATATATATATATATTAGGTATTAGATACATACTACTGAGTAGCAGATGAATGTTTGAAGTTGTTTCAACAGTTCAATTTTTTAACAGTCTCACTGCCCGCGGGAAGAAACTGTCTCCGAATCTTCTTGTCCTTGCCAGGATGCTGCGGTAACGTCTGCCAGACGGCAACAGAAAGAACAGTTTGTGGCTGGGGTGATGGGGGTCTTTGATAATCCGTAGTCAAATAATAATAATCAAATACTTATTTTCTCCACTGTATGTTTTGTATAATTTGAGAGAAACCATTCCTTCCTGTTTTCTTTTAGAACACCAATGCTTTGAGAAAATCTCAAATAATAAAAATGCAATGATTGTTAAACTTGAGCTATATCTAATGATGGGATTGGGATAGCATCAGCCGCTCTCATCACTCACCAGAGCGAGACTCCCTCTCTGAAACATTCATGAAAACCAAGGATCTGCTTTCACAATGGAAAACTGCGACTAAAGAAGCAGAAACTGAACTGAAACACACCAGAAAAAACTTCTACTAATCTGAAATGTACACCTAAACTGAATTTAACCCACGATCAACATACACAGGATGAGTTAAGACAGAAAAAAAGCACAGACAGTGGCATAGAAATGTAAACAATACATTCATAAATGCAGATTAAAAATGCCCACCTGTGCAGAAAGATAATACTCACTGTTTGTGCGTTTTCCTGGAAAAATGGTTTGAGTTCACTTCCTCTGCAGAACTGTAGGAAATGAGGAGACAGCGTTAATCCTTCAGACCTGACACCATGTGTTACATTATTCAACACCTGAGACATTGTGTGTGTTTGTGTGTGTGTCATCATTCATTCATAGGAGGGAGGTTAGTGTAGCTGCTGTGAAGGTGTGCGAGTTAACTTTGTGCTGCAGCTGCCATAAATGGTGTTTCTTCACTCTTTGTTTGTATATGCACAGCTGAGAACTGAACAGGTGTGTGTGTGTGTGTGTGTGTAATGGAAAGTTATCTTACATCCTGCACAAGTTGCTTTTAGTCTCATTTTAATCGTATTATCCAGCTAATAAAACAAAACTCAAGAGTCCACTTACTTGCTTTTCTTCTGGGGCTTTCAACCATGTCTTCATCCGTGCATGGTGGAGTTTGTTCAGTTGTCATGGAGAAGCCCTTCTCTCATGTGTTGGTTTATTCACAGGAATACAATGACGGCAATATTCTAGTACACCATTAATAGAATAGTATGTATTAGTTGGAGCAATCTGGAAGTAATAATTAATATATTTTTGGAATATCCATCTGTCATTTTTAAACTTTTTTATTCTTTAAATAAAACAAAGTTGAGGTTTTGCTACTAAATTAAACATTTTTTATTGCAATTATTTTGATGCATAACTTTGATTTCCATATTGTTTTTATCTCTATTGTTATAATACAAATATTATTACCCTATTTGATCTAATACACATCCTTATGTGAGAGACTGCATTACTTTGGTTAAATAACTGTCTTGTACTATTTATTGCTACTGTTATCTACATGTCTTGGTTTTTAATTAAAAGTTTTATTTTCATGAAGTTGTTATTTTATATGTTAAAGTCTCTTTTCATTACATTACATTACATTTAGCTGACGCCTTTATCCCAAGCGACTTGCAATAAGTTACAATAAGTGCATTCGACCATTTTCAACAGCAATGTCATCTCTTTGCAAAACATTATACAACGGTTTTGCTCACTCCAGTTCAGTATATCTAAAGAAAGTGGCAATGTATTTCACATTGTCTGTGCAACATGTTTCAAAACAATCTCAAATTTGAACAGTCATTCTCCTGTCAGTGAAACATATCAAAAGAGCATCCACATTTTCCAAACTGTAACACCAAATTAAATGTGCACACTGAACATTTTGTGGCTGTATTTTGGTCTGCTGGTAATCCGATGCTCAGGGTCAGATTTCACCTGCAGACATGGTAACATGATGGAGTTCAAAAGGAGAAATCCGACACCAGATATTGTCCACACACACACACAGCTTTATAGGAGGGTTCTTAGGAGAAAACCCTGAAGCCATCTCAACATGAGCTCGAAATATATAGCAACCTGACTTTAAGTTTAATTTAAATAATTTGAAATACAATTCAGTTGCCAAAAATGTTTTGGCTGCAACTCTCTATTGTATTTTTTTATATTTCCCATCATTAAATCCTATATTGTGTGCAAGTTTTAAAATGTATGAGTATAACTGCAAACTGTTGAGCGTCTGCATGATATAAAATCCAATAACTGAAACTCTTGATATGAAGATTTGAGACACCAGCAGCTGAAGGTGGAAGCATTCCTGAGGCTGCGTGCTTTATACACAACAGATGAGCGAATGGGAGTGAATCCAGACACTCGCACACACATATAGCAAAACATCCTTTTCTGTTTAAGGGAGTAAAGGTTTTTTTTGCAGCCTGAAGCAATTCATAAAGGGACGTGCGGAGATAGAGGAAGACTAACGTTTTTGTGTAGCCTTTTGTCATTATAAAACATACTTAGGATTTCAGTGCTATTACAAGATACATATCCATCATTGTATTGTCAAATTAAATTGGAACAACTACAAACTTGTCAAACCCAGAAAAAATATGTTGAAATATTTAGTTTTAGTTTAATCCGCTCCTTTTTTGTTTTGGAGTAGCAACCTCAAATGTGAGATTCAGATGCTCTTATTTGCATAATGGATATTGGACGTTGAGATTTTGTCAAACAAAGAACAGTCAGCTTTTAGTCAATAAATGCTTTGATTCTAGCGTTTATCTTGTCTTACACGTGACTTTATTGGTACTTTAATACACCAACTGTGCCTGCAGCAGTCTCTTATTTCTGGGTATGAAGGTGTATGCAAAAGTATCTGTAGCATCACCTAGTGTGCATTGAGTGAACTGCTACATGACCATTTTCAGGTACATGGTGGTGCATCAGTTTCACAGGAGACATTTATCCAAGTCTACCCTTATTAATATGCAAAAGGGTGGATAAAACTGCTCAGAGTTAAGCAAAAAGGTACATGCAAAAATAAAATGAGACTTTCAAAAAACCTGTAATGCATTATGGTTTGTAGAGAAGACAATATTTGAAAAATAAAAACAGGACAATAACAGTTTTTTTTTCGACGTTTATTCTCCTGACAGAATCATTTACTCGTCTGCCTCTGACTCCTCCTCATCGTCCTGACTGATCTGGAAGTAGCGCAGTTCGTACGTCTCTTTATCGGATGCCACGACTCTCAGCCAATCACGGAGGTTGTTCTTCTTCAGGTACTTCTTTGTCAGGTACTTAAGATACCTGGTGGGGGAGAGGATGGGCCAATTAGTACTGGAATTTAATTAAAAGTCTCATGGTAAAACTGTGTACACATGCAACAGGGTTACTACAGCTTTAGGAAAGTTAAGATTTCATTTTTAAAAAGGCAGTCAGAATAAAATGTTAAACCAATTTAAAAATATTGCCAAATGTTAACTGACTTAAAATGGGACCTTTTTGGTCCAGTGAAAAAGTTAGAAGATATAGAAAAAAATATTGACCAATGGGAGATGCATTTGGTATGAGTCATAATGAAAAAAACTATCAAACATCTTGTGATTTATGAATGCAACAGATTTTTAAGGCTTTTATCATATTTATTCAAGATATTTTAAAACCAATTACGGCTTATTTTAAAAGGTCATTTTAAGGATCCCAGAGTTTTGATTATAATACTAATT